ATGGGATAACACCGCCAACAAGAGTGAAAAAGAGCAAAAAAAAAAAAAATGGTGAACAAGATGAATGTCCAAATTAGAATAATGAAAATCTTGGGATAAGGAATTGATTGGTGGTTTAACATAATAAATAGTTTTTCTTAAGTAATACTAATTTTAAATTCTTGTATTTTGGGTGATTTTTCTAAAATGTTTAAAAATTGAAAATAAAAGATGAGGTTTTTGTTTCTACTTCTTTAAAATAGCAATTAGATTGTAATACAGTTAGGCTTTACCTTTTGAGTGTGTTTACAACTAATTCGTCGCTTGAGGACAAGCAACGCTTAAGTGTGAGGAGATTGATAAGTCCATTTTTGTACTTATTTTTCTTATCAAATTTAAGCGATTTTTGAATGAAAATAGAAAGAAAAGACACATTTTATATATTTTGGTTCAAGTTTCATGAAATCAGGTAAAAATCACATCCATAATATGTTTAGCGGGATTTCGGGTCAATTGAGCACAAAATGAGTCAATTTGAGTGACAAATGCATTTATACCGGAAGAAGCAAGCATTTTATCAAGGTGATTCAGAAGACAAAGTTGAAGAGCAAGAAAAGCCGCATCTGCCAGACAAAAGTGGCCGAAGGCGCCCAAATAGGCGCCCAAAATGGAGGCCTTCGCGGCCGCCTACGGGAAAATTCAGAAGTCAACCTCGCTTTGACTCGGGACCAGGAAAAGACCGAAGGCTGCCGACACTGGACAGAAGGCGGCCGCCTACGGTGGCCACCTGCGGCACAAGGGGACGAAACCAACCACCGATCGGCCAGACAAGACGGCAGGCGGCCAGACAGGACGGTAGGCGGCCGGGGTCCGCCGGGATCCGCCGGGATCCGCCGCGATCCGATTTGAACATGAAAAGACGGCAGGCGGCCGACGTGTGGCGGAAGGCGGCCGCCCTCTGTGGCCGCCTACGGCTGACGGGGACCGGCCACCGACCGCTGTCGGCGACGAGGACGGCAGGCGGCCGGAGAGAGGCGGAAGGCGGCCGCCTGGTTGGCCGCCTTCGGGAAAATTTCTGCTATAAATTGCCCGATTTTTCCTCAACTCAAACACACCAATTTCAAGCCCAAATCAGATCAAAAAGGGCGTCTTCTTCCTCCTCAAAGCTCGGATTTCCACCATTGTTGCACCTTCAACTTCAATCTTTCATATCTTTCTCATTTTAGCTCCAAATTGTGAGTTCTTTATATGTATTTCCATCCTTTCAATGAGTAGAATCTGAATCTGTACTTAGTTTTTTCTATCTGTGCTTCGAAAATTTCCAGAAAATTATTCCATTCGCATTTTCTTCTTAAATTTGAATAAAATAGTTGTTGACATTAAATCCATTCCAATTAATTATATAATTTTTTACTAGCCTCAAGGTAGTTATTTATCAAAACAAAGTTAATTTTTACGAAGTAGAAGTAAATTTTAATTAATTCCGGCATTTAGTTGTTATTATTGCATAAATTAAATTAAATACTCAAAAAGGAAAAAAAATTAGTTTCTGTCCTAATTCTAGTTTAATTCACAGTAATATCACTCCCAGTAGTCAATATAAAATTTAGAACGAATTTAAAATAATTTTAGTTGCTTTTTGCATTTTCTAGTTAAATTTGGGAAAATTATCAATTAGTTGTTAGAATTGGATTTTAGGTTCAAAAATTCGTGAAAAAATTCCAGAAAGTTATACTTCAGTTTCTACAAGTTTATTGTTCCATAATATAAGTTTTGCTATCATCCATGTTTAATTCCTTGTTAATGTTGAATATATTCATTATATTGTTAGTTGTTAAAATGATCTTTATTAGCTAAATTTGTTTTGGGCATGAATTGACTAAAGGAATATGGATTGACTTGTTGACCAAAAAATTAGGGATTAAAATTAATAATGGGGACTAGTTGTTTGAAATGATGAAATAGTAATTAATAATTGTTAGCCATAATCATTAATTAAATTCTTGGAAAATTATCTCTAACTTGTCTATGAGATTAGAAAATAATTTAAACCAACCATATTCGAGCACATTAATAAGGCCTAGAAATAGGATAATTTAATGAAAGGGATTTACATCTTGTCTATGAGAGATAAATTCAATTGCTTAAATAATGAGTTTAACTAGTTAATGAATTTGGCTATTTTTATTAATTAAAATATTGGAGAATTATTTCTACCTTGTCTATGAGGTTAGAATTTAATTCAAGCCAACCATTTTGAACACATTAATGACACCTAGAAATAGGATAAATTAATGAAAATAGTTTCTATTCTTGTCTATGAGGAAAGAAATTATTAGTCCACTTTTAGTTTTAATTTCCCTAATTATTAGGTCCAAGAATATATCCATTTCTAATTACTCAATTCATTGCCCTTATTTGCATCAATCCATTTAAGTTTAATATTATATATATTTTTTTTTTACTTATTTTTGAGCCATCATTAGTATTTGCACAATTTAATTTACTCTCCTTTCCAAAAAGTAGTTTAGAAAATCAATCAAAAGTTTTAATTTGGAAAGCTTCCAATAATTTGCGATAACCTGTGACTGGACTTAAAATCAAGAAGCTCCTCCGCCATTCCTCGAGAGACACGATACTCGGGGAAAAACCGAAAGGTTAGACTCCGTTTTACTACAACGCCGCGAAAGCGGTTATCAAATGGTTACATCACAAATGTGCAATTACTACCACAACGAACAATAGATACTATTTAAAAGAAAAAACATACACATTGAAAATCAACACAATTATTATTGTTATAGAATAAAACCTTACTTATGTTGTAATATATTTGTTTTTGCAGAATAATTATAGTCTTAAAACCCAACAAATCAACATAATTATTGTTTTGGGGAATAGATTTTTGTTGTTGCATGTAATGGCTAATTATCGTACTCTATTCCTTAATGTGCCTATTCGTATCAACTTTAGATTCTCTTCGCAATACCTTGTTAATTAAATTAAAATAAATATGGTAGCTACATTTTGTGTGACACACGTTGTGATTCTTCGCGTTGATACACAAATATCTTAAGTCTGTTGTATAGTAGCTTTTAATTCCTGTAAACGTTAGCCCCCTCTACTACCTTCCACAGATAAATGGAGTCAAAAGGGGTTGGAAGATTTGTCCCCCAATGTGAACATGAGTTCTGGTGTATATGGAATATATGAATTTTGGTAGTGAGACCGTTTGGTAACAAAATACACTTATTCGAATGAATTTGCTAAAATTGGTGAAATTTTATCTGAAAATGCTCAATTGGTTGGAATTGTTGAGGTAAAAATAAATTACATTTAAAATATGTTTTATTATTGAAATAAGAAACTACATTATCAAATTCATAAAATTCAACTAATTCAGACAGAACAGTGATTCAAATATTACTTATATTGACTATTACACATTTTAGCACTCATAAAAGAAAGTTAAAGATTTGATATAAAAGTTTACTCATAAGACTTGTAAATTTGACTTAGTTGTTACTCAATGATCCTTAATTTCACTCTATTTACACAATATATGGTGAATGGGCTAAGTGTGTAAATAAATAAATAAATAAATAAATAAATAAATAAATAAATAAATAAATAAATAAATAAATAAATAAATAAATAAATAAATAAATAAATAAATAAATAAATAAATAAATAAATAAATAAATAAATAAATAAATAAATAAATAAATAAATAAATAAATAAATAAATAAATAAATAAATAAATAAATAAATAAATAAATAAATAAATAAATAAATAAATAAATAAATAAATAAATAAATAAATAAATAAATAAATAAATAAATAAATAAATAAATAAATAAATAAATAAATAAATAAATAAATAAATAAATAAATAAATAAATAAATAAATAAATAAATAAATAAATAAATAAATAAATAAATAAATAAATAAATAAATAAATAAATAAATAAATAAATAAATAAAATTGTATGAAAATGTTACATTGTAGTGACTACAAAACTTACTTTAGTAACTTATAGTCACTTTTTTATTCATATATTTTTATGAATATTTTTTTAGAAAAAATCTCATATAAAAATCACTCTTTTAGATTGTGTGTTAATATTTTACTTTTTACTTTTTGAAATATATTAGTGGAGTTAATCTCATGGACAAAATGCTACTCATCTCACTAAGAATGCCATGTAATGATCCTATCACTATACTATAAAAATGAATATAATTACAATATTTTATTATTTATTTTTTGAAATATATTAGTGGAATTAAACTCACGGACAAAATGCTACTCATCTCACTAAGAATGCCATATCATGATCCTATCACTATACTATAAAAATGAATATAATTACAATAAATAAAAATTATTAATATAATCATCGCATATAAATGTTGCATTTTTCTATCATCTTTATTTTAGTATTTCGTGATATATATGTCATCATTTCTTCATTTTTTGTAAAGGTTGTTTTTCTTTCATATTCTTCCTCTATTTGTTTATTTCATGATGTTCATTCATACTCTTAAACACCTTGTAGTTCGATGACATCATTGTGAAGGTCACAGGTTCAAAACTCATCTCTGTCGATGATGTTAACATTTAACAGAGAAGATACTAAAAATAGATGAAAGTTCTGCCAAAAAAAGTTCGCCCATACTTATTCTTCTAGTAATTTTCGAATTAAAATTGAAATCTTAACAATTCAGTAATAATTTTACTATTTTGGTATTTCTTATAAACTAATCGTCGAAGTCAACCATTATTAATTTAGAACTATCAGTATAAATATTTAAAATATAGGGAGGTAACAGCACAAAATGACAAGATAGAGTACCTGCATAAATGTACTAGTAAGTAGTTCCCATTCGGGTGGGCCAGCTGCTCAAGTTCAGGCGACCCATCCTACGGCCCGGATTCAATCGTGACCCGCAAACCGCGTCTCCCACGCACCATAACGTTCGCACCTATATATATCCTCAACCTCCATGTGAAAGGTCCCATAATTCATGTCCGACCCGTTAAGTAATTCCTCTCCAGAAAACCTCACTTCATTTACCAGTCGGAAATGGCGATATCCGCGGCAACTGTCGTAAAAGCTCTGTTAATCTTTGCAGGCACGGCGTATATTCTCATGGCAATGAGGTCCTTTCTGCCGCTGCTATTTGATCTCCCGACGATTTTGGCCTGGCTCAAGCCTCCATACATTTACTTCATCATCAACGGAATCATCCTCTCCATAGTATTCTCCTCTCGTTTCCAGCACGATCGCCTTGAGAAGCAACTCTCCGGCGGGGTACCTAAGTTGATCACGGCCATCACGCCTCCGCCAGCTGATTTGGCAGCCTTCGCTCATCCGGAGGCGAAATCCATTGTCGGAGAAACGTTTTTGGCGGCGTTCGGCATCCAATCGGAGGTGCCGGAGATGAAGCCGGCGGCGGTGGTTGACGGTGCCATGGTGTGTTTGAATGACGAAAAATTAGCCGATGATGGAGCCATTATTGAGAATGAGGCGGCGGAGGACGAAGCTGCTGTTACTAATTCCGCCATGGATCTGTCGCCGGAATCTGAAACAGAGATGTTTCTGTCGGTGGCGGCGGAAAAGCCTCTTGCCACTTCACGCTTTGCTCACCGTGGAAAACAGTCGGTGAGATCCACCCCGGAAGGTATATATATTCAACAATTTCTATTTATATGTCTCCTTTTTTTTTCAAATAAACTTTAAAGTCGGTCCGATTTCTCGCAATTCGCCGAGAACAATGATGTCATTCCGAAATCGTCCAAAAAATCTAACTCATTAATTAATTTATAGTGATTCAGTGAATAACTCATTAATTTCTAAGTTTGTTAAGACGTTTGTGTTGATTCTGTTGAAGGTGGGAGAGGTTTGAGAGTGGCGAGGCAGAAGAAGCAGCTGGAGACGCTGGAGAGCACGTGGAAGACGATCACGGAGGGGCGTCATGCGCCGCTGACGAGGCGCCTGAAAAAATCTGATCCCCTTGAGAACCACCAGAACCTGAACCGCGGCGACGCCGCCACGGCAGCAGACGGTGACGCTTCTGGCAAGCGGCCGGTTTCGCGAAACCCGGGAATGATGATTCTGCGGAAAGAGCCTTCTCTGAGTCAGGACGAGTTGAACCGCCGAGTTGAAGCGTTCATAAAGAAGTTCAACGAGGAGATGAGGATACAAAGGCAGGAGTCGTTACAGCAGTGGAAGGAGATGATTAACCGTGGGGCCAACTAGTTGTCATTTCTTTTGCTTTTCCATTTTTGGCCTTCTTTCCTTTTATTTATCTTTTTAAAAAATCTTTATAGAAAATGCTTAGCGAAAAATTAACTATTTCTTTTCAGCCCCTGCCTTTTAAAAAACAAGGGCTATTATTGACTGTATAAAAAAATCTTTATTATTTTGTATTTTATAAGTGCGTGTATATTGTAGAATGTTAGTAGATTTGTGTAAGATTTGTTTGTGAAATTGAATATATGAACATTGCTTAATTTGAAGTATGTATTATGTTTTCATTTGGCAATGTTATTTGTAAAGTAGTCCGAGCTAGGGGCGCTTACAGAAGATAATAGAGTGAATAGATCCATACGGAGTATTTATGTAAATTAGTCTAATTTACAAATAAGTGAGTCTAATTTTGTAAATTAGTGACTCTAATTTACCAATATACAAGAATTAAAAAGACTTGGAGGCACAAAGGTAGTAAATTCTTATTTCTGAAATAAAAACGTAGTGTTTTCTACTTGTGAATTGTGATAATATGATTAGAACGTACAAATGGTTTTCGTGATATACGATAATACTCCGTATTACATACCATCAACATATTTTTTAGTGCGTATGTAATAGTTATCTACTTTACCTGTAGTGAAATAGAGAATATTAAGACTTTGAAACTTTATCTTAAATACCAATTTGAAATAGCTCAAAGTTTTACTTAGATTTGTGCTTATTTTGAGTCGTATATGATGGATTACTCGTTTGAGCTTAATTTGATCTAATGTCTTACTACAATTTGAAATTTCATCTTAAAATTTGATCTTATAGGGAGAGTTGTCCAAATTCTGTAACTTAAATGTGTGGGATGACTCCAATAAAATATAAGTCATGTTTGAAAGTACTCCGTAATAATTACTACGTACGTACTCCCTCCGTCCCTTATAACTTTGCCAACTTTCCTTTTTTGGATGTACCATTAACTTTGCCACTTTCTCATTTAAGTAAAGAATTTGTGGTTCCAGTTAATTCTCTCTCCTCTGCACAAACCTCAACCACACAGTTTTTACTTTATTAATCCCCGTGCCGGTCAAACTTGGCAAAGTTATTAGGGACGGAGGGAGTATGTTTTAGTCTCGACCTTTTGTTATTATAGAAGTGCTTGTTTGGAAGACAAAAGCATCTGTCTTCTAATTTTTGTATTGTTTAAAATGTTTTTATAAGATTCTACTGTTCTAGTATGACAATATTTAAGAGTTTTCTAAAAATGAAAAACCTTTTTAAGAAGCTTGTGTAAGTAGCATCTGAGGAAAATTTGTAGTTTTTAGTCATATTTATTAGTCATAACAGCTTATCATATCAAACGGAACTAAATCAAATAATCACTTTTTTAAACAGTTGCAACTTTTTTTCCTTTTAAAATCCTTTCAGTCATTAAAAGCTAAAAGTTACTAAAAAGTTTATAAAAGTATATTTTCATCTAGTTGTGTCAAAACATACCATAATTAAATTAAATTCCAAGTGAAAAAGAGCTCCTTACGTATTTACGCACACAAATTATTTTGAGTATTATTGTTAGAAGGAAATTTTTAGATGGGTCATGGGTTTAAAATTGTAAACTAATCAACATCGTATGAAATTATCAAAGAAAGCGACATTTAATTACCTGTCTCCAATATTCACGTTTAAGTAGATAAGTTTGTTTTTCCGTTTTGTTTTGAATGGGGTTATGGGAAAGGCAATTTAATATGAACGGATGGAGTACGTAGTAGTTTCTGGGAGATAGTTATTTAAGGTAGGAGGAATCACATCACCAGTCGGTGTATCGTTTTGTCACTATTAAATATTGGTAGACGACTTATGAGTCAAATTTAAACGGCAGTGATGTAATTATCCTTTTTATTTAAACGTTTTTATCTAAAGAGTTCTGGATTAGTCATAAACAGTACGGCTGCTAAACAAACTGGCCTAATAAAATCTTATTTTCCCTTTCATAAAATATTTTTATATAATATATTTGTACATCTTTTTAATAAGGCTTTCCCCAGCCAGCTAGATGGCCAATAGTGACAGGTGGTTGCAAGATTCCTACTTGGTAAGAGCATCTCCAATGGGGTAGTGGATTGGAGTAAAGTCTATCCTACGTGGCATAGGAGAGAGATAGAGATAGAATGATTATTTTAATTTAATATGGAGAAAGTGGTGTGTATGAAAAATAGAAAGGAAGAGAGAGATATGAGTAAATTGTAGACAATGTGTATGACAATGTCCACAAATAGACTTTACACGGGAATCGAGGAGTAAAAGTGGATGAAAAGTGTGTTAAAAGTGATATAGAAAAATGAAAAACAAAATAAATGTGGAGATATGTAGGTCCTACACATAAAATTTGTGAGATAAAAAATGGGACCCGTGTGTAAGAATGTGGAAGAGAGTAGACATCTCCATTGGAGATGCTCTAATGAAGCCACATAATTACTTCCATCTTTTTTGAATAAAAAGGGAATCTCCCACTTTGAAGTCTTTGTATTACTAGTAAAAAAGAAGTTTGAGTTAGCTTGGTTCAAGTAAAAGGCAAAACCTTATTTGTCATTGGGGCCCTAGAGGTTGGACAAAATGTGCTTAGTGGCTCCCACTTTTCCTCTTCTTAGTGATCAAGTAGCTCCCTTTTCGTCTCTAGCTTTTCAAAACTTAGTGCAAAACGACTATTCCATTGCATCTCTAAAAGACATCTTAGCTTGGCTTTATATTCAATAGCCTTGAGCCCTTGATCGAGGTATCTTCTTAAAAAAAGAATCATCTCGGAATCATACTTTACTTGCTCACCAAGAGTATTCCTGAGTTTATACTCAATTCCGCTTAGCTCGATAAAGACATAGTCCCACACAAACGATTAAGGAACTCATTCTCTCAAAACACTTGATCGGTCCCAATCACATGGAGAAAGACCGATCGAGTCATCTCCAGGACATATCAACTAGGCCTCTACGAGAACACGTCCCTAAGCACCAAAGGGTCGGTCACGACATAGCCAACTGAACACCCTCCACAGGGGGAGGCTAATCCGACACACCCGGTCGAACTTCCTTAACATACAGGATCTCAATCCCACCAGTAAAGGTCCACCTTATCCAGTTATATACATTACCTTTCAATGATGTACTACTATCTAGGTCACATGTCTCTTGTAAGCCTTATAAATAGGCTACATATGTAAGCTTATAAGACATAGCTATTTGAGTTGATACACTACCATTACTATTCTTGTTTATTTCTCTAGCTCGATCTCTACGAGTTGGATTTAGAAATGATTGTTGCTCTTTGTCAAAGACTGAACATCATACATTAAACCAACAAAATATGATTCTACATCACATTATAGCATCCATTTGTCGATTCAAGGCAAGAATCAAACTGGAAGCAATCGATGTGTCTTTTATGCCATAATGGTTTGATAGTCTTAAACTCTTAGTTAGTGGTGGACTCAGGTCGGGCCACCCGGCCCGTGGACCGGCCCGGCACGGTTCTCGGGTCCGGGTCGGGCCTAGGCCCGGGGGGAGGGTCCGGGCTCGGGTCTCACTGGCCCGGCCGGGTCGGGCCGAGTCCGAGCCAAATTGAATTTTTTTTTTCATTTGTTGGGGTTCCACCCGGGTTGGGCTTGATGGTTAGGGGGGTTTGAGGGGTGAAGGGGGTTAAGAAAGGGGGAAAAAAAAAAGGGGAGGCCCGGCCCGGACCCGAACCGGACCCGGTGGCTACCCAGGCCGGTCCCGGGTCCACCAATCCTGAACCGCCGGGCGCCGGCCCGCCCGGGCCTAGGCCCGGCCCGGGTCCATCACTACTCTTAGTCACCAAAAATGAGTGTGATGACTTGTCACATATGCCAACCAAAATTCAGCTCTAACTACCAATTCGAACCCCAATAGCATTTTTGTATCTCTCTAAACTCTGGGTCTTTAAATCAAGATTGTGGTTAAGAGTGTAGCCAAACAGGTTAAAGAGAGTAACCCTACAAACCTTTTCTTATAATTAGGTCTAGATAGTGTCCGGTTTCAGACCATTTTGATTTTAGTTCTAGACTGGTCGGTTCTCAATCCCCACTCCCTAGCCGAGATCGGGTCAGAATTCTTGAGTGAGGTCCAATTATGGTCCAAAGCTAGTTCCAGTGCAATTCCAATATCGACTCTAGACCAGTTCTATACCCTACTTGAAATACTTAAGCAAAACTGGAAACGGTCAAGTCCGATCCCACTGAATGTCATTTTGGAGTAACTAAAGCTATAGCTAGGTTGGGCCAGTTTTGAATACCGATTTTGTTGCCACCCCGATGAATTCGTACTGGTAAATTACTCATCCACTTCTGTTCTGGTCCTATTCATTAAATGGATACCACCTAGGGCCTGCCCAATCTTAGGGATGGCCTGGGACGGATTGGCCCGAGCCTGACACTATTTAGTCCCGGTCTGGTCCTCTTTGGGCCAAGAGCCCGGGCCCGGACCAGTGGCTATAAGGGCAGGCTTCGGGCTCATTTTTTAGGCCAGACCCAGGCCCGATTGCACTATTTTTTTTAGTTTATTGCCCAAGCTTGTCCCTTCCCGATTCCGGTCCATCCCTATGCCCATAGCTCTGGCTATTGTGAAGGATTGAGCCAATTAGTAGTGAACAGTCCCCACACCCAGTTTGGCAAGTGTTGTGCTGACCCCAACACACTTTAATTGTTAAGGATTTACGTTTACATTTAAAAATATAAACCACAAATATAATAAGTGGAATGTATAATAGGGACTTATGACTTAATGGTGAAGGATGATGTGATGAAGAAATTATTCTTCCAAGACAGCTAAGGAGTAAGGACACTATACAAGCCAAGCAGAACTCACATCCGATACGGCCATACCCCATACAAGAGGGACACATTAAGGTTACTCTATGCTAGGAAAACTCATTACACATTTACTAATTTTTATTTACATAAGCCAAAAAATGGATGGTGATGATGCCATAGAATATACACCAAAAATATCAACTAGCTAACTACTTCTCGGCATGCATCACAGGAGAAAGGTTACCAGGCACCATATGACGGTCCACATCAGATATTGTTTGACCCCGGCTTCTATCTGAAGATGGACCGCGACCATTCAAATTTATCACTTGATGATGAGCAACAACTGAGGAAGAATCCTTGACACCTGGCAACCCGTGATGCCATACGAGTCTATCTGCAGCATCTTGTAGCAAACCCATCACCGCAATACCACCACCAGGAGAATCACATTGGAAGGGTGAAAAATCATCCCTC